ATACCAGGCACTGGAAAATCCCACCTGATTCTCCAGCTTTCACCATTATTACAAGGAGAGGCACTCATAATTTGTTTGTAATTTTACTTTTTCCTGAAGCCTTTGCGGGGTTCCTTTAGAATCTTGCAACAAATGGAGCCAAGGGGCGGTGACACCTCCTCCCGCCTGCTTCCTTGATAGTTGAGGAAACCTCAGGTTTAGATCTCACACTCATTATCATTTGATAAAAAGCTAGTTTTAACTAGCCACTGACACAGATGATTTGGGGGGGAAATTATATATTTTTGGGAGGGGGCGCTGCTGAAATCCACAGGCTTCATACAGTTCCAAACAAAGCCCCACATGACTTCAATTACCACCAGACATTTCCAGTTCCCCTCCCCCAACATAAACTAACACATGCAAACACTTGGAAGTAGGGGTTCTAACTTACTTTCTCCCTTGTCCCGAAGACAGCCAACAAAGGGTGGTAAGGCGCCATTTACCCCATCACCATTTAGCTAAGAAAGGAAGGTCCAGGGCTGGGAGCACTCTTCTCTGCCCCACCTCCAACCAAGTAGGTAAGGGGGACAGGGGAGGAGGAGGTGTGGTTTGGTTAAACTAATAAAATGTTACAACCCTGTTAAATACAATTAAAGGGATAGATCTCTCAAAGATAATTAAATGCATTTTATTATTATGATTATTAGCTTTTAATTTACACTGCTAAGAAACGGGAGATGGTCAAAACTGAGTTATGTGGCATACTTGTATACTTGTATTCAAACCAATCCTTTGGAATTAAAATTCTAAAATATTCCAAATAGTTGAGGGAAATAATGTGTATTGGAAACCGGAGTTCTCACACCAGCCAGGGTACTTTTAGACATCACTTCTCAGGCAGCTAACTTAAGAAAAGTCTTGACTTTTATTTGTGGGGGGTAGGGGGGAAGATAAGAAACATCTGCTATAAACATTCTATCAATCTTGTGATATAGAATGTCATGTAAACACTCAACCCGCCCCCACAGCCACAAAGAGCCTGTCCAGAGCCTTCTTCTAAACCAACGACACCACCTTTTTTTTTTTTTCATTTTTTTCTGAACAAGTTTTAAAGAAACCAGTCTCTCCGTCAAAGAAAAACTAAAAAGCCCATCAGCCCATCAGTCCCCTCCCTCCAACCCACCCCTCTTTATTGCTTTTTGAAAAAAAAATAAGCCCCAAACAACAACAAAAACCCACACAAACCAATCCAGAAACTGCTAACCTGAACGCTGGAAATTTTTGGCTGGGGTGTGAACAGACCGCAGGAAAAGAAGGGGAGAGATGCCAGGAGATCTCAGAGCCCCCAAATTTGCAAACAAATGCTCAAAGGCGAATGCTTCCCTGGACGTGCAGGGAGGCAGGATCAGTACTCCTGGTGGTGTGTGTTGGTGCCGGGCTGTTTCAAACCACACTTCACAAAGCATTTTCGGGCCACTGGAAGCATTTGGTGCAACGAACTGAAACGAAGAGAAACCAGAGAGGGGAAAGATCTTCCAGCCTGCGGGGGAGTGGGCCAGGGGGCCGAGGCCATTCCCACCCCATCTCCGCTCTCTCCCCACTGGCACCCCCCACCTCGGTTTTTTTTTTTTGCCACATCTTCATCTCAGTTGGGACTTTTCCAAAGAGGGAGTGAAGAAAATAGGACAAATGAGGAGGGACAGAAAATGGGGAAGGAAACAAAACGAATCCAAGGCCTGCTCAAAAATACCCAACAGCTTCCACAGGCCCAGCGTCAGTGACGAGCCTCACAAATTTGGCTTTTATATTAGTTGAATGGAACGAACTTCCAACAACTCAAAGCCAACAAAAACAGCGCAGGCTGGGTGCCTCTCCCAGCAGGCCCAGCCCTGCCATATCACCAAAAAACTCCAAAGTAGGGGCGGGTTTTGAAGGGCTCTCAAGAAAGTGAACCCTTCCCCCAACTACGCCCCCCCTTAGACACACACACACACACACACACACACACACACACACCTCATTCTTCAGCCCTGGCGCCCACACCGCTGGTGTTTTTTTTTTTTTTTTTCTTTTAAATAGAAAATATATATAATTAAATTTACAAAGACTATTTACAGTTTTAATTACAAACCTTGTGGGGGTGTTGGGCAGAGAGTTCTCTTTTAAAAATCAACCTAAAAGTGAAATGGTTTCGATCGTTCTTTATTTAAAAAAATAAAATACGGAGTCCGTAGGGGCCCCACCCCGGGCGGAGGATAGCGCCGCGCGGGTCCAGCCTGGGCCTGGGATCGCCCCTCACACGGTGGTCTCGCCGTGCCGACTGTTGGTGAGGCGAGTGTAGAACTTCCTCCACGAGTGCAGCGTCTTACCCGACCAAATCCAGAAGCCCGATGTGATGCCCACGATGAGCGTCATGAGGTATTTGATCATGTAGACCGTGAAGTCGGGCGACATGCGCGGCGTGTAGTGCGCTGGGCACGGGATGGCCAGGCTCTTGCAGTGCTGGCTCACCCACGAGCGCTCCCAGTGCTCGCGGAAGGCCTGCTCGTAGAAGTAGCAGGCGATGACGATGGTGGCGGGCACCGTGTAGAGCACCGAGAAGACGCCAATGCGCACCATGAGCCGCTCCAGCTTCTCGGTCTTGGTGCCGTCGTGCTTCATGATGGTGCGGATGCGGAAGAGCGACACGAAGCCGGCCAGGAGGAACGACGTGCCGATGAACAGGTACACGAAGAGCGGCGCCAGCACGAAGCCCCGCAGCGGGTCCAGGCTATTGAGGCCCACAAAGCACACGCCGCTCAGCAGGTCGCCGTCGATCTGGCCCATGGCCAGGATGGTGATAGTCTTGACTGCCGGCACGGCCCAGGCGGCCAGGTGGAAGTACTGAGAGTTGGCCTCGATGGCCTCGTGGCCCCACTTCATGCCGGCTGCCAGGAACCAGGTTAGCGACAGGATGACCCACCAGATGGAGCTGGCCATGCTGAAGAAGTAGAGCATCATGAAGAGGATAGTGCAGCCCTCCTTTTTGGTGCCCTGCACCACCGTGCGGTAACCGTCCTCGGAGAAGCGCTCGTTGCACACCACGCGCTCCTGGAGCACGAAGCCCGCGATGTAGGCCACCGACACCATGGTGTAGCAGCCCGACAGAAAAATGATTGGCCGCTCGGGGTAGCGGAAGCGCTGCATGTCTACCAGGTACGTGGTGACAGTGAAGAAGGTGGAAGCGCAGCACAGCACCGACCAGGTGAGGATCCAGAGGCGCGCGAAACGCGTCTCCTCCTGCGAGAAGAACATGGAACCATCGGGCCGCGCGGGTTCGCAGGGCGCGGCACAGTCACGCTCGCCCAGAAACTTGTAGCTGAGATAGGATGGCACCTTGAGGACGCGCGGGCAGTGGAACGGGTGCTCCAGCGTGGCGTAGCGCGGGGGCGCGCCGCCGCCGCCTGGGCCGCCCGGGGTGCCCCCGGCGCCGGGCTGCAGACCCGGCGGCGGCGCGGTAGTGAGCAGCGCGGGCGCTCCGTCCTCGGAGTGGTTCTGGCCCACGCAGATCTGCTCCGCGCCGTGGCGCGGGAAGTGTTCGCAGCGCAGGCGATCCGGCCACTGAAAACCGAACTTGTTCATGAGCGCTTCACAGCCCTGGCGCGCGCGCTCGCAGATAGAGCGGCACGGCGGGATGGCCTGTTCCAGCACGGTGCACACGGGTGCGTACATGGAGCACAGGAAGAAGCGCAGTTCGGGCGAGCACTGCACCTTCACCAGTGGATAGAACTGGTGCACCTCCAGGCCTGCGTCCTCCTGGTTCGTGTGACCCAGAAGGTTGGGCATGATGGTCTGGTTGTAGGCGATGTCCGTGCACAGCGGGATGGAGATGGGCTGGCAGAAGCCGTGGTCCGGGATGGAGATGCCCTTCTCCCCGTGGAACTGGGCCGGCCCGGCGGCGGGCAGCAGAAGCAGCGGCAGCAGCAGGCGGGGCAGGGCGCTGCGGGGCCGCATGCTGGCCGCCGCCCCCCACCCAGCTCCTTGGCTCCCCCCGCCCCCGCCCCCAACCCGGAGACTGCGCTCCTTCCCCGCCGCCTCCTTGGGGCGGCCGCCGCCTCCCGCGCCTCTTTGCAAACTTTGCTCACGGCCGCAGAGTTGGGGAGGCCGGGCGGGGGAGGGGGCGGCGCGCCTGCCCGCTTGCTCGCCACGGTCGGACTGAGCCGCCCGAGACACAGCGCGCCGCTGCCCTCTCTCCTCTTCCTCCTCCTCTCGCCTCTCAGCTCCCCCTCTCCCCTCCCTTCAGCACCCAGCGACTTCTTTGTGCCTCCTCCAGCCCTCACCTCGGCCTCTCGGATCCCAATTAGTCGGTTTCAAGGGGGCCCCCGCTGGCGGCCCCGCCCTCTCCTCAGCCCCCCAAAAAAGGGATCCTTGAAACCGCCCCGTCGAGCTCTAAGCACCATCCCAAAATGTGCTGTCGGCCAATCAGATTTAAACCCGAGGACCAGGCCCGAGGGCTGGATTGGTCGACCACAACATAATGAGATCAGAAACCAGATGCCAACAAAACTTCCCCCCCTCGCACCCCGCACCCTTTTGCTTTTTAAAGAGACAAGCTATTATTATACTAAGGGCTGTTTGCCCAGCCCGAGATTCTCCAGAGTCGACCCGGCGAGACCGGGGAACACACGTTCCCCAGAGCCGCGGTGGACTCAGGCAACTCAACCCTGGCTTACTCCTCTTCCCGGGACCGAGGTGCTCTGCCAGGTGGGGACTTTTTAAATCCTTGCCCCCGCCCCCGATCCTCGAACCCCAGCTATTCCTAGTCCAATTTGTCAAATCTAGTGAAAAATCTCAAATCTAAAAATTAAAACAGAGAGACTTAATAAAAAACCTATCAATTTACAAAGACTTTTTCTGGTCCGCCCTTTCTGGAGCCCAGGCGAAAGTTTCACTTCACTTTACACGTAGACCCCTCCTCGCCCTCCCAGACACACACCCTTAAATAACCCTCTGAAAAATGGGAACTTGTCTCTTTAAGAGGCTCTTAAAGGGACCTGGACTCTGAGGCGTAATTGCCCCGTAGCTAGCACAAAGGAGCCCATTATGGTTCTTTGTGTTCAGTGGCACCTCAAAGTGAGAAAACTCGGGAACTCTGAGGCCCGGAGCTGGAGAGTTGGGGCGGGGGGCTTGGAGGGAGCGAGGGGAAGGAGAATGGCCCGGAGCTGCGGCTTCTTCCTCCCGCTTCTTCCCCGGCAAATCTTAATTGTGCAAACTAAAGTTTAGTTGCCGTAAGGAGGAGGTCTTAATCGAAAGTTAATGGTGGGGGGCGGGACAAGGGGTGACGGGCAAGTTTGAGTGAAGAGACGACTCCCTTAGACCTGACAAACGTTTGGGGGAATCTTCCTTCTGCCCCCGAACGTCTACCTCCGCCCCCTAAAAGCTTCCAGATCCCGTCTCCACTTGTCTAGCAGGGCGAGAGGGGAGTTTTACCCAAATCTGAAGTGGTTCCACACCCGAGAGGGGCGGCGTGTGTGACGCCGGGGGGTTGTGGTGAGTTATCCGCCCCGCCACCTCTCACCTGGTAAGGGGTGAGGGGCGGCCAGCAGGGTTCCTACTACTTTTAGAATTTTTTTTTCCTTCCAGGATTTTAAATTTGAGAAGGGGGAGGGGGTCGAGGAGGAGTTTGCATGTAAATCTCCTGGGCCTGGTGCTGGATGATGGATCAATTATTTTCTGTGGTCTCTCCCGAGGGGTGTCGTGACGGGGGGCCGGGGGGAGGGGAGGCGCACTTAAAAAAAAGAGAATTGAGTTTAGAAAGCCCCTTTGCTTCACAGTGTGGACCAAATCCTCACAGTCTGGTGAACCGTTTCTTGCTCCAATATAGAAAAGAAGTGTTTTAAACTACAGCAGCAGAAGAAAATAACAAAAAGAAGGAGTAGGGAGAAGGAAATAATGTTCTAAGTAGATGGATACAGGGATCCAGGTTTGACAGGATTCAAAAAAAAAATTTTTTTTTTCCGGATTGAATGAAATGAATAAAGATGTTCCAGTTCCTTACAACTTGAAAATGTTCCTCATTACATCCTGGGAAAGTTGCCTATTCCCTACACTAGAATGAAAGTTTTCCTTCAAAATTGGGGTGTGAGTGGGGCGGGCGGCATATGCCTCTCTTCTGTGCATTCCATTTCCAGCCCACCCATCTCTATTTCACCAGCAAGCCCATTTTCCCCCAGAGCAGTCTAAGGATGGGAACATTGTCCTCTCTCTGCTCCATCTGAGCCTGAGCTTTTGGTCCTCAGATCTCCTGTCTACTCCATGTCAAAGCATCTTTAGAGCTGGTACCAACCCTGGAAGCTAAGCAGTGGAAACACAAATGAAAGACAGGCTCCTATACCCCACTTAGGAAGCTCGAAGTCTGATAGGAAATAGAAAGCAAATCTCCAATGTAAATGAAGCATCTTCAATTTCCTTCCATGACAAACCCGTTTTCCTGCCCTAGGGCCAGGCCTGAGTGACTGTTATCCCCTATCCAGCCACCCCAAGGTGGGACGGGGAGCTGGAGCTGGAAACAGGAAATAGAAGACATTCTTCCATTCACTCAGGCAACTTTTCATCCTTCAACACACTTTTATTCTGATTTCAAACCATCACAATAGGTGCTATGGAGAATGTGGAAAAAGATGACAGCATCTGCCCTTCAAGAATTTATAGTAGGCCAGGAGCAGTGGCTCAAGCCTGTAATCCAGCACTTTGGGAAGCTGAGGCGGGCAGATCACCTGAGTTCGGGAGTTCGAGACCAGCCTGACCAACATGGAGAAACCTTGCCTCTCCTAAAAATACAAAATTAGCTGGGTGTGGTGGCACATGCCTGTAATCCCAGCTACTAGGGAGGCTGAGGTAGGAGAATCACTTGAACCGGAGAGGCGGAGGTTGCAGTGAGCCTAGATGGTGCCATTGCACTTCAGCCTGGGCAACAAGAGTGAAACTCTGTCTCAAAAAAAAAAAAAAAAAATTAGCTTGGGCAAGATGCAATGGCTCATGCCTTTAATCCCAGCACTTTGGGAGGCCAAGGCAGGAGAATTGCTTACAGCCAGAAGTTTGAGACCAGGGCATCAAAGTGAGACCCCCGTCTCTACAAAAATTTTAAAACATTAGCTTGGCATGGTGACGCATGCCTGTAGTTCCAGCTACGTGGGAGGCTGAGGTGGGAGAATCGCTTGAGCCCAGGAGGTTGAGTCTACAGTGAGCTGCCATCGTGCCACTGAGCTTCAGCCTAGGCAACACAGTGAGACCTCCAAATAAATAAATAAATTAGCTTGGTCATTCATGTGGACCAGATTTGTAATTCTGTCACTAACTGTACAGCCTTGGAACAGTCACTTTGCTTCTTTGAACCTCAGTTTTCCCATCTGCAAAGTAGGAATAAACCAACGGATTTTTAAAATGTGAGACTCCACATCCAAAATAACTTCAGAATGACAAAAATACATTTCATAATCATAAAGCACCTTTGAAAACAAGAAGTTACATTGAATTAGATATTTATTCAGCAGCCATCCTGGGAGAGCTAGGGTAATTGCTACTGTTTTTTGAGATTCTACTAAGCTCTGCTCATGTATATGCCTACAAAGTGGGTATTATGTTTTGTTTACAGATGAAGAATCCACCTTAGGTGAGATCTGGCAACTTTTCCAAAGTCACATAATATGTGGCAGAGGTGAGACTGAAACCAGGCCTGTTTGGCTCTTAAAGCTGAGTTCTGTCTCCTACATCATGTAGCCCCTAATGTCTGTAAGAATTGTGTGCTCTTATTCACTTAACAAATTTAGGCCCAGGCATGGTGGCTCATGCTTGTAATTCCACTATGGGAGGCTGAGGCAGGAGGGTCACTTGACGTCAGGAGTTTGAAACCAGCTTGACCTCATTTCTCTCTCTCTTTTTTTTTTTTTTTGAGAGGGAGTCTCACTCTGTCACCCAGTGTGTAGTACAATGGCTCGTTCTTGGCTCATTGCAACCTCCACCTCCTGGGTCCAAATTATTCTCCTGCCTCAGCCTGCTGAGTAGCTGGGATTATAGGCACGTGCCACCATGCCTGGCGAATTTTTGTATTTTTAGTAGAGATAGGTTTTCATCATATTGGCCAAGCTGGTCTTGAACTCCTGACTTCATGATCTGCTCATCTCAACCTCCCAAAGTGCTGGGATTACAGGCATGAGCCACCACACCCGGCTTCATGTCTTAAAAAAAAAAATTGCATTGAGTACTAGACCTAACCCCTTATTTCTATGGAGCTCATGTCCTAGTGGGAGACACTCACATTCACTGCACAGTCACTGACATGGATGTAAAATTGCCATGGGATTCAGTGCTGTGAAGGGAAGATCCATAGTTCTTTGAAAGCATCATGGGAGAGGAAATCTGACTGAGTCGGGAAGGTAAGATAGGTTGTGTGATTGGAGAAAGGACAAAGCAGGACGAGGTAAAGAAGCCAGCAGGGATCAGAGTTGCAGGGCCTCACACATCGTGTATGAGGTGTTAGATGCAGAAACATGAACTCACACTCTAATAGGGAAACAGACATGTAAACAGACAAGGCAGGTACAGGCACTCCAGACAGAGGGAACATTGTGTGCAAGGGCGTGGTGGGGTGAAACAGATGGAGGGGGCAGGTAGTACAGGACTTTGGCCCTGTCAGAGTCCCACGTGCATCTGGGAGAATGATGGCAGAGGAGGCTTTAAGTAGTCAGAGATCTTGGATACCTTGCACACTGTCTGGGCTCCTGGAGATGGGGTATACTGAAGAGTTTCGGGAATGGAAGAGGTCACATTTGCATTTTAAATTGTGTATTTGGGCAGTTTTGAGGAGCATGATGCCAGGAGCCTGAGATACCACTTACAGATTGATCATAAGAGACCCGGCAAAAAGAAAAAAATGAAGGAATAATACCAGCGTTAAAAAAAAAAAAGAGACCAGGCAAGAAATGGTGAGGGCAGGAACTGAGGTGTTGCAGTGCGGATGATAAGGAGAGAGAGACAGAAAGCAAAGAGATCAACCAAGCTCTGACCTAGGTGTCCTAATGCCATTAACCAGGCTAGGAAATGCAGGGAAAGGGCAGATAATGAGCGAAGTCAAGCAAGCCTGGTCCAATGGCACAT